TTATTCTAAGCAACCCAAAACTACAATGATCCTGCTGATTAAATTAAATCAGCAGAGGCCCCTATGCTGCCATCTGTTGGCCAAGCTGTGTTACAACATGGAACAGAGTGAATTCAGGAGATAAAGATGGAGACTGGGGTGCACAGCTGTGTCTCTGCAGAGCCTCTGTCTCCTCCTCTGATGGCAAGAAATGAATGCAGACAAGAACTCAAACAGAAAAAAAGAATATATCATCCAGAGTATCTGTCATGTTCAAGGACACAGAGGATTGTGTCTGATCGCAGGGACAGCGATCAAAAATTTGCAAAAGTTGATTGTCCAGATGACAACACTGGCAGCTCCTTGTCAGTCCCACAGCTGTCTACAGTTTGGCTGCAGAAATCCTCAGACATCAGACATCACTGCTCAGGGGCTGAAAGGACCATTGCTGCTGGAATTACTGATATTAGTATTAGTATATTTTGTAAATGTCCCTGGCCTGTTCACTGGACTGAATCCACACTCTTTGGCTCATTTTAAAGATATTTACATCTCTGCAATCTTTTTTGGAGAATCAAGATCATGTAGGTGTGCGAAGAAAAAGCCCACTCTGTTGTAAAGGCGTGACAGTTGATGAGGAGAGGACTCAGACACAGTAGAGTAGAGATCAGTGTGTACGAGGGTGTGTGGTAGGCAGGAAGGAAAAACAACAGCAAGACACAAAGTAAGTGATTAACAAAAATAAAACGAGAAATAACTGTAACAGAAACCCAAATCCATGACAACAGTAGAGTAAAGCTGCAGTAGTCCTGCCTGGCCAACAGAAGAAAAAAAAACAAGTGGTTAAAACAAATCAACAAACACCTCCTCCACATCCTGGTTTCCTTTTTACTTTCTTGTCTTGTATTTTTTTTAGTTTACTTCTGGGAGGGTATGAATAAATTTGAGGACGACTGTAGCAAGTGCTTTCTGAAACGCAAAATGAAAATGCAAGTGAAACTGCATAAATGGGGAATGGGGAAAAGAATGAGGATGTAGGATGAGGAGGAGTAGCAGCGAGAGAGTGACGGTTAGTGCAGGACCACAACAAGAGCTGGAAGTGTGCTTTCCTTTATGTGATGCACTTTTAAATAGTCGAACTCCGCTCACATCCCAGTGTTTAACAGATTAAATACCGTTACACATAATATGAGATCATGGCATTATCACCTGAATACATACAGGACGCTGCAGCTGCATGGCAGTGCATCATCGTTTCCATTCAAACTGGTTCAGGCTATTTTTTAATACATATTTCTGATGCATACTTAGACGCTACACTGTGTATGCTCATTTTATTTATAGCCTTAAGTCCATTTTTGATCATATTTAATGATGTTAGTGTTTGTTAGGTTGGTTTAAGGCTAAGAAAAAAAATCTCTTGCATAAACAGGCAGTTAAGTTAGTTTGCAGAAATAAATAAATCAACTTCTTGCGCTGCAGCAGCACAGACGTGTCACTGGTGCAGCTTCATGAAGCTTTACTTTTGATGTCAAAAAGGAATTCATTGTGTAACTATTGTGTTGCTATTTGCAGATTTTAGCCACTTCTACATTAGAGCCAAGGCAGGAGGCTGTAAATACTCATCTATTCTCCCTCTTAGATTCACTTATAGCAGAGGTGTCAAACTCATTTTCATCCCAGGCCACATAAGCATTATGTTTGCCCTCAAAGGACCAGTTGTAATTGTGTGTGACTGTCGTGAATGTATAAATGTAACAACTCCTTAACATGTTGATAAATAGTTGTCTTTGCATTTGATTATTATTTATTGTATGTACAAATATTGTGCGTGCCTTTATCCAAAAGTGAAATATATGCAGCAGGGCTCCAGACTAACTTTTCCAATGGTAGCAACTTTCTTGTTGGTCACACCAGCTAATCATTTGGTCCCCCACCCCATATGTCATTGGTTCAGCACCGCCACAGCTATTAATGCACCATGCAGCTGATGAATAGTTGTCTTTGCATAACTCAGTTATGTTGTAATGATTTTCCTCTAACAGGTGAGCGACCAAACATTAGTTGGAAAACAGTGGAAAACACGTTCTACACTAATTTGCCCAAGTTGAGAAGTTTTCTATTAGCAGAGTTTTTTTATGAACTGACTTTTCTACGTGCGGAGCACATTTTAAATGTCCAGACCACTGGCCATCATGTTTATAGAGTCAGAGCTGTAATTGCTGTTAAAACTTGAATCTTCCACATTGAATGTGGGGCTACTTTTTCTTCCTAACTGACTCAGTCGAGCTCTGTCTGTCTGCACCTGAACACTGTTATCATCAGGTGTGTCGGACCTCTCCCTCTCTCACCTCGCTGTGTGTGTGCGTGTGTGTGTGTGTGTGTGTGTGTGTGTGTGTGTGCTTCAACATAATCGGCCATATATCCTTTTATCATTGGAACACGGTAACAGCGAAACTGACTGTTTTACCGTCAGGCAGAGAGCGACTGAGTCAATGAGGAAGAAATATGACTATTTCCCACCACAGTAACTGGTGCAGCAGCTACCTGTGCTGACTGGAGGAACCAGATCAGATCATCGTTCACTCGCACCATGAGACCACGTGATACTTTAGCTCGCACACGCTTAAAAATGATCACATATGGGAACATTTTTGTTGCAGTCTGGAGCCCTGTGTGGGCACACTGCTGTGTTGTTATACCATTATGTCAGATTACATCAGGTAAATCTAATTAATTTATCAGATTAGGAAACACACATCTCTTGCGGGCCACATAAAATGATGTGGTGGGCTAAAATTGGCCCGCGGGCCAGAGTTTGACACCTAAGACTGATAGGCTTCTATTAAACACACGTCAACGAGACACAGCACTGTACTGGGCAACAGGTTTACAGATAACAATGAATATGCTCACAGCAGGATTACACACGAAACATCCAGCGAAAAATAGTCACTAAAGCACAAAATGTGTATTAATCCGCTGCTTAAAATAGTCACAGTTTATTCTTGTTTAAGTAATGTTTGTTGTGGATTACAGTGCCCAACAGTTTGGGGAAAATGACTGAGTATCTTTATTATTGATGTATTATTAGTGTTCAGAACTACGCTGTTGCTGTGCGGGTTTCTGTTGGATTTGGTGGTACTGATAAAATATGGAAACCTAACAGACTTACTCTTTTGGCTGATAAAGTCAAACACCAAGCAAGCTGAAGACAAAAAAATGTTCATTTCAGTTAAGTGGCTTGAAATGTTCAAAATTCAGAAAAGCTTGGTGAAAGTTTCCCACTCTTTCAAACTCATTGACTGACGTCTCTGCAAATAGCATCAACCTGCCCTCGGCTCACTCAGAAATGACGCATGAACGCCAGACGTAGGTTTCTGTCCTCTGCTGCTGTAGTTTCCAGAATATCCTTCCGTTTTTCTTTGATGGCGAACCTGAAGAGAACAAAAAACAGTTGTAGGGAAATGAGCACAAAAAAAAAAAAAAATAGATCAACAAGTGACTTCACGGAGTCATACAGAGAGCTGCTGTTGTGTCTGTTTGACAATGTGACGAGCACAACCTCCCCCCGCCTGTTTGTGGTTTTTGCTGCAACTCACATGAAATGAAAGCCAAGAAACTGCAACATTTCTGAGAAAGACAGAAGCGTTGCATGAAGGCAGGTCGACTACATGGACTATCACACTCGTCCTTCCCGTCTTTCCACTCTACCTCATGGAAACCTTTAGGTGCTGGAGCTCACTACACGGATATGTTTTGTTTATGTTCCTCACAGCAATCAGCAACGGTAAATATGCACATAAACAAAACCCTACTCTAAAATTTACCTTTTTCTTTATTTTTCTTTATTTTGGCTCTAATCTCGTTCTATCAGAACACAATGCAAATCAAATATTCAAAAGTGACAATTCTGTAAAAGTCAATTGTCAGCCGCAAAATGTTGGTGAGCTTATCAGCATTTTGTGGTTTCCACGAGCAGAAGACATCCGCTCTGCTCTGCTCTGTGCAGCCTTACTGAAGCGTCTGTATTTCTAGTATTTAAAGATAAAAAAAAAAGAGACTTTATTGTCATTGTGCAGAAGTACAACGAAACTTGTAAGTCATTTTGGAGTTTGTGCCAATCTCCAGCCTTTTCAGAATGAGCTAAAGAACTGAAGCATGTGGAGAAAAGGAAAATGAGTTTGTTGTGTGCTTTGGATGTAAAGCTGAGGCTGTTTTTGGCTGCTGTAAATGTCTATGTGTATTTCTGGAACCGCGTACTATAGGTGCTTGTTTAGAAGCATCGTTCATGAAGCCTGCACCACAACGTTGTGTTCAAACAGGCAATGTTTCCAGTTGAAGTCAGTTCAAGGGTCAGCGTGATCAAAAACTGATCAATGATCAATGTGTTAATATGAACAATTAAATGGGATAATTTGTTGTGTTTCTCCAAAGGGTCAGCATGTGAGGTTCCCTCCAGTCCTCAGTGCTTCAGACGAACTGCTGATGAGAGTGTTTACACATGTGAATGGAGCCTGAACACCAACGAGAGCGACGTGACGTTTGACCTTTACATCGAGTAAGCGTTGTCATAAAGGTTTCCGTTTGTACTTTGTAAATGTGCTCACCTCTAATAGCCAAGAAGCACCATACATCAGTCCCCTATAGACTGCATATTAAGGTGTCATCGATGCTCCATGCATCATTTTCTGGCTGGCTACACAATAAGCAATTATCAAGATCTCAACACCATGTTTCTACCCCTCTGCTCGCTGCGAGTGTCGTAGTGACCAGAGGGGTGGAAACATGTCATTTTGGCTTCACTTCGGGGGAGCTGTCATGACGTCCCTCTTGATAATCTTCTTAATGTTTAATTGAAGAGGATATCTCCAAAATAATTTGCTTATGAAGCGGCATTGGGCCACTGGATCAAAAATATACTAAAACCCGTATACCTTCACTTTATTACGACAAAGACAAGACGTAGATGATGAATTTATCAGGTCAAATCAAACGCTGAATAAAAAAAGATGGATGTAGCCATTGTAATGTCACCAGTTGGGTTGTGGACAACTGTTTCAAAGCCTTGACTTTGGAATTCGACTGTCACCATCTTGGTTTTTTGATACCAGACGTAACACGTAAGTGGTCGCTCTGACTGAGAACCTGATGACACTATGCATGGTGATTTGGTCGTTAATTTCCCATCAATTGAGGAGCCGCCCTAAAACATACCCTTCTTTATCATCCATTTTACTCTAAATTGGACTATAATTTGCGAACAAAACATCATGCTGTATTCACAAAGTCTTGAAATGTGTGATTGAGACCATAAACCCATAAGTAAATGTTTGCTTTAGGGAATAGATCAGGTGAAACATCGGATCATTTTCGTATAGACTTGTATGTACATCTTTTATATACACTCCATGTGCCTTAAATGACATTGTATTTAGATGATGAGATATTAAAGTATTTCCTGAACTTAGGCCTCAGTATTTCACACCGTTTCCTTCAGCTAGCTGTTCGATCCCTATGCTAAGCTAGGTTAAGTTAAGCAAGCCCTGCCTGTTGGTGGACATTCAGATACAGATATTATACTGATGCTAACCATCTCAGTTGCCACTCAGCAAGAGAGTATGTCAGGCTATTTTGCAGAAGGGCACCTATTATTATAATTAAGGGTTTAAAGATTCACCGATATGAACCAGAAATCGATTTTAACTTAAACAATATGAACACATCGATTGGCGGGCCTCTGGATCGATCTATATCTACTGTGGAGCGTCGATGTCCGGTTGTAAAGTTATGAATCTGTTAATTGGAGCTCTGATACTAAATATGGCCGCTCCAGTCTCGTGAGACTCCCGCTGTGACATATTACGAGAGTAGTGTTCGCGTAACGTGTTTGTTAGCAACAACAACACAACAGCATGGCCGACAGCACCGGTGTTCCAGATTAACTGGTGATGTTTGCTCTATTTACGCTCCAGATGTTCCGTTCACAGATTGGTCCTGACCAAACTCTGTGAAGATTAAGAGACGACATGAAGAAGACCTCGCTGAAAAACACAAACATCACTCGTTAATAAAGTCCATATCCATGTCGGTATCATCTACAGACAGCAAAACGAGACGTGCTGACCAAAATAAAAAATACATATTTTTCAAGTTCGGTGAAAAACACGAGTTCTACACATTGTGCCACCGATCAGCTCGATTAGGATCCCTTTTCATTCCTATTGATCTTTTCTATTCTGTCAGGTGTTTAACACCTGATGGTTGTTCAGGAAACACGCCAGATCAACCGGTGATAGTCACAACTTGACACAGTCACAGTCTGTTTAGTAACAACACACAAAATCTATTATTGTCTGACCGAGCAAAACCCACAACATAGAAGCAGCTTGTGTTGTGTTGTGTGTTAGTGTGTGCATTCAGTGTCAGAGATACAGATCAGAACTTGAAGCTGAACTCGGGTTTGTTCACTGAAACACACACAGCAGCCTCCCACCACAACAACACGCAGCACAACATCAGTTTGGTTTGACAAAACGCATCAGAACAAACTGAGGCCACGTTGAATGTTCTCAGTTTGTAAAGTTTATGGATTGCAACATACTGAAGGGGTTAATGTTAATATGTTCTCATATTTAACACAGCAACAGTCTGTCTGTGTGCATTGCATCGAATCGCATCGTAACGTATTAAAATGTACCGTTAGTGAATCGTATTGTAACCCATGTATCTGGATTCGTATCGGATCGCCTCTTAAGGTAGAGATGCACACCCCTAATTCAAATAATCTTAAAGCAGGAAACAAATGGGTGAAACTAGACATTAAATACACATCAGGTCAATGCTGAAGAACTGTGAGATGTTTTCTGTCTCTGATGCTTTCACTGCATTCATACATGTATATTTTTCTCCATAGCGGAGCAAAATTTGGAAACTTCAAGAGGAACTGGACCAAGATACTTGAGGAGGAGCTGATACAAACTCGTCCTGTCGATATTTGGTTGGAAGCTCACGTAGGAAACTCCTTCTGCGCATCGCCCAAGAGGTCTGTTGTGCTGGAGGACACAGGTACTGGAGTAACAAACTGACAGCACAGTTTCTTATTAAGCTGGTGAGATAATTCCACTGATGGTTCTGCTTCTTCTCAACAGTTAAATATGAAACACCACAAAACATTTCAGTGTCCTGGATGAAAAACAACCTCATCTTACGCTGGCGGGCTGTAAAGACACATCCAGCTCAAGCAGAGGTCTGGTTCCGGCAATATAAACACCCCACGGACCCATGGGAAAAAGTAAGGCTTCCTGTCACTGGGTCTATTGTATGTAATTGATTTATTTCATGCTGCTGATCATTTAACCTTATATCTGTTACAGAGAATAACAAACACCACCAACGAGGCTTTGAATTGTGAGTACACCGATATCTAATGTCTTTTCAATGAGATGATCATTTACCGTTGTTTCATGCTTACTGTGAGATATAAAGTTGTTTAGTGCTGCTTGTGGATCTAAGAACCACTGAAAGACCACATTTTTATATGTTTTATCCATGAATGTATTAAAGACGCCTTTCGGTGAAAATCTATGAGCAAAGAGGCTGTCAGTGCCCATGGCTAAGCATTTCTGCTGTGAAACTGCAGTGTACCCAGGACAGTCTCAAAACCACTGATTCAGACTTCTGGGGTTTCATACGTAACATACGTTTATTTAATCCGGACGTGAGGTGGAGCTCATTGACAAGTCGAGGACACTACACACAGCAATACTGCAGTGAACCATCAATTGCAAGGTAGCAACGTCCTAAAGGCTGCCCTACTTTAACATTTATTTGACTCTAAATAGAACCATATGTTCCCGAATAGGGCTGCAAGGTGGCGCAGTTGGTAGCACTGTTGTCTCGCAGCAAGAAGGTCGCTGGTTCGTGTCCTGGTGGGGGCACTGGGATCTTTCTGTGTGGAGTCTCCATGTTCTCCCCGTGCAGTGTGGGTTCTCTCCGGGTTCTCCAGCTTCCTCCCACACAGTCCAAAAACATGTTGAGGTTTATTGGTGATTCTAAATTGTCCGTAGGTGTGAATGTGAGTGTGCTTGGTTGTCTGTCTCTAAGTGTAGCCCTGTGATAGACTGGAAACCTGTCCAGGTGTCCCCTGCCTTCACCCTGAGTCAGCTGGGATAGACTCCAGCCCCCCGTGACCCTAGTGAGGATTAAGCGGTGTATAGATAATGGATGGAATTTGTTCAAAGTTTAAGAGAAAACACCAAATAACAGAAACTTGCTTTCTGTCTGATCAGACCGGACCGTTGTTGGGAATCTCCTGAAGCATTCAGCTTACGAGGTTCAGATCAGACACCAGTCCACCGAGGCCCAGAACCCGCTGTGGAGCGACTGGTCCGCGGTCGTCATCGCTCCTGCAGGTGAGCTGATGTTATCTAATTAAACAGACTGATCATAGCTTTCATGGTTTAATTACCTAAATTAAAAAATAATTATTACCTTTTAGGTAATTAAGCAGACGTTCTCATTTTAATCAGACATGAAAATAAAATGTGTAATTGTGTAAAACTGCCGTATACAGTAAGAAAGGTCACTGACACTGCAACAAGTGTACCTGCAGATTCTCCTTCTTCTCTCACACAGGAACCATAAATCCAGATGTTAAGGAAAATATTGCATTATTTTACATTGATGGCATCTGAACTCCTCATATGTACAGATTCCTCTTTGAAGAAGGCAAACTGAACTCATGCAGCTTCATTAGAGCATGTTTAGTTGTTTTCTGCTCTTAAACATTTTGTGTTTTTTGTTGTTTTTGTTGTTTTTTCACTTCAGAACTTGAACATGAACCTAAAGTCACCATGAAGATAAGGCCTGTAAACGGCACCCGAATAGTGACGCTCACTTGGCCGGTAAGTCAGCGACGGCAGAGCAACACCGGAACAAAACGCACATTTAGGTCGACTGTAGATTAGAGCAACATAAAGATTTTCCTTTTCTCTGCTACACGCCGACCCATGTTCTGCCATAATGTGCTGAAAAAAAAAGAGGAAACACAAATTTGTCCCATAAAAAGTACTATTCAGAGAGTTGTTGTCGTGAATGGGAACTTTTTTTATTCTAAAAACGTAATTAGAAGGACTAAATTGTTGCAGTCATCCACACTTACGATGCATTTGTTAGTAGTTCATTTAATTCCTGCGTGAACAAAATAAGCATCACACTTTCAGGGAATGTTCTTTCAAGTTATTAAAGTCTATATGGGCAACGTGTAATCTTATCATGAGGACAACTAGATGATGATTTTTTTTTGCTGCAGATGAGCGATACTGAGCTGAGTTGAAGGGTATGTTTTGCTCTGCGTGGCATTTCAAATGTTCGTAGAAGTGAGGGTAGGTGTGTGTGTTGGCATTTTGCAAATTGCAGCACTCTGGCCTACTTCCTGCCCTTACATGAAGGCACACTTAAGTGCTGCAAATAGCTCAGAGGCTGTGTCTGTTGTTGCCTTCAGGACCCTCTGTTAGGGTCAGTCAAGCTGGAGGTTGTAGAGCGTTGTTTTCCTTTCGGGTTTATTTCATTTTGCTCGCTCCATGGTCTAAACTTGAGCTCTCTTCTGCTCTTCAGCCGACGCCACATGCAGCAGCAGTCGGAGGAGTGACGTACACCCTGAGTGACACGCAGACTTCTCAGGGATGTCCTTGTGAGAGGAAGAAACATCCCATCGACAGGAACAAATCCACAATTTATGTGTCCTACTCGGCTGTCAACATCTCTGTTTTCGCCAAAAATGCCGCAGGTTCTTCTCCTCAAGCAAACATACAAGTACCGACCAAACCTGTGGCGGATTTACAAAGTAGGCTTGTGTGTGTGTGTGTGTGTGTTTGTGTGTGTGTGTGTGTGTGTGTGTGTGTGTGGTTGAGTGTGCCATCTCATGCAGGTTTATCCTAAAGTAGAGCACAAAGGCTTTTATTTCTTTTCTCTCTGGCAGTTTGCGACAAAACGTTGGTGAATGAAAAGCTGAAGAGGGGCACTTGCCTCGAGTGGTACGAACTGCAAGATTCAAGGCCAACAAATGTGATAACGTTGTCAGGAAGGACGGCTAAAAAGGAAAGGGCGAAAATAAAAACCAGTAAGTTGCATATGAAGTGCTTTTACGTTGTTGTTTTTTTTTTTTTTTGCCCAAACTTAATCTTGTGTTTTCACTAAAGTTCATTGACGACTTTATAACAAGTACCAAGATGTTTTTTTTTACTATTACGTAATTTTTATGTGACCCTTATGAAGTAAACACGCTTCTGTTTCTGTTGCAGACATTAAGGACTACATCCGCTACCTGTACTTTGAACACAGATGTGACGATGGGAAACCACAGACAGTTAAAATGTGTCTCTTTTATCAAAAAGAGGGCGGTAAGTGTTTTCACAGGAAATGCTTATGTGCAAAAACGCACAGGGTCACCGCAGACTGAGTTCACCTGCAGCAAGTCCTCCACACTGTACGGTTACACGCGTTTAACTTCCCCCCAGGGCTGGTCGGAAAAGCCTGCACTGATGAACAAAAATTCTGAATACGACAGCAGCTACATGGTTTGGTCACATCCACATCGACTCAAATGCTAAATTGTTGAAATGGCTGATTCCGGATTTTTGTTTTTTGTTTGTTTTTCAAAAATGAAAGCCGAAAGTCTTCCATGTGCACTAACAGAAAATGACGTGTTTCTTCTTCAGGGATCTCAGTCTTTCTTTGTCAGTAATGATTCCGTCCAATAAGCAGCTCTTCTTAAACCTCTAAACCCCAAGGAGTTCCCGGGCATTTTTACTCACTGTGGGGTCGTTTTTTTT